GGAAACTGAGGAACCTAAGGGGAAGAAAATGAGCAAGCATGGCACAATTATCAAATGCTCCTTGTGTGGTAACCCTGGACACAACAAATCAGGATGTAAGCAGAATCCAGAGAGAGGCAAGAAAAAAAATGCTCATCTTGCTAGAACTAGCAAGAAAAAGAACCCAACTGAGGTATTTGTTGTTGTCATGTACTTATCTATTGCATATTTATCCTGCTTATTACTCTTGTGTTGGAACTTATTGCATATTTATCCTTAATTTGCAGCAAACATCTGCCTCTGCCTCTGCATCTGCTCCACCAACAACAAGTTCAGTACCAACAGGTCCTTCTACTGGGACCAACAGGTTCAAGCCTCCAAGAAAGAGAACTGCAACTGCTGAAGCTGGATCATCTACTTCCACAAGGACAGGATCTGGAGCTAAGAGGGGAAGAAGGCCTGCATCATCAGTGCCAAGCTTCAGATATTTCACTTGCAGTGGAAACTACTAGTTATAGTTGAAAAGGGCTGCATCTAGTTCTTTTGTTGAAGTTGCAATGTTTCAAAACATTTCTGATGTAATTTTGCAAACTTATCTTTTGTTCATGGCTCAAACTAGAGGTCATATATTTGTGTGGGAGTGTGACTTATTTCAAACCTAGTCTATGTGAAATTAAGTTGATCTGAATGATCTTTCATCAGTGGCATTTCCTTCTTATTACTTGCTATCATTGTTTCTAAATGCCATCCTGACAATGCATTATGTTACAAACAACATAATGTTCCACTGTACTGTAATATATTACTAACTGCATCATTTTTCACTTTACTGCCAGCAAAGATTGCAAACATATATGCATTTCAGAGAGGTACAAAATGATGGCATAACACAACTTGCACTTCCACTTTCATTGATTCCAAACAGTGCTAAATGCATACAACTTCCAGTTCATTCTAAACCCTAAAGCATTGCTACATTGCATACAAATACAACTGATGAAACCACACTTGCACATCTTATTACAGTAGCATCTTCCCTGCAACTAAACCCACCACAAATACAACAAACAGCATGACAACAGTCTGATATTTGCCCTTCAGTGCATCTATCTCTGAATTTTTCTGCTTCAATTGATCTTGCAGAGCCATAGCCATTCCCATTCCTCCTGTTTCAGCTTCAGGGAGAGCCACAACTGCAGTGGGATCTTCAATCACAGCACCACTTCCTTGACCTCTCAGCCTACGCACTTCATCTCGCAAATCACCAATCAAATCACTCCAAAATTTGGGAAGTGGGTCATCATGCCATTCCACGAATCCACAACCACCATGCTGTTCAATTGCACCAACAGAAATCAATGAGGGGGGGGGGGACAAATGAACAGAACAAAAAAACAGCAACTTGAAGCTCACCATCGCATCAACACAGGCGTAGTATCTCCTGCCTGGATTCTGACGGCTCCAGGAGATCCACCTAGGCGCCTTCCGACGGGGGTTGCACCAGCAGAGCCTCGCTGGCTCGTACGCCATCGGGGCCTCGCGGTACGGCACTGGCGACCTAGATTCCTCCCCTCTCCTTCCGGTGGCTCGACGGAAG